ATGTGTCCCTACCCCAGAGCTCTTCTATCTACCAGTTAGTCTTGTAAGAGGTAGGAAACTTGCATAAATTGTTTAAAATTGACATCATTTTCCAAATATCTTTCTTTTACTGTAGAAAGTGACAGCCAGTGGAACATGAACTACATTGTTAACATACAACTAGTAGAGATGAAGGAAACTGAGTTCTTTTTTTAAAATATTTTTTAAAAATATATTTTATTGATTTTTTTACAGAGAGGAAGGGAGAGGGACAGAGAGCCAGAAACATCAATGAGTGAGAAACATTGATCAGCTGCCTCCTGCACACTCCCCACTGGGTATGTGCCCGCAACCAAGGTACATGCCCTTGACCGGAATCGAACCTGGGACCCTTGAGTCTACAGGCCGATGCTCTATCCACTGAGCCAACCTGGTCAGGGCGAAACTGAGTTCTTAACCTGAGAATGCACATCTAGATGTTCATAAATGTATGCAGGCAAAACCCCTTAATTTAAATTTCTATTTAATTTGTAATTTTGCAGCAACAACGGTGAGTATTTAATAAGGTTCCAAACGTCTCTGGGTAAGGTGGGGGTGTTGTAGAAAAAAAATATTTTTTCTTTGTCCTTGTCTGACTTGGAATTGTCTAATATGTCAAGAAGGAAAAAAATACCTCATTTAAAATATATTTGGGTAGATACTGTAATAACAATGAACGCTTTTATTCCCCAGCAGCAGTTGGTGCTGCCTGTACCATTAAGGTGGACATGGTATGCCTTATATTCAACTTATTGGTAAGATTTTAATAAAAAAAAAATCTGTAGGAAGTGTGGTATATATTATCACATTTAAAGCAGCCAATTAAATTAGTCTCCTGATACAGGCCACTTTATAAACTCATTTATCACACAAGTTAGCTTGGTCTGACCTTTCCACCCCTTCTTGGACAAGGATGGGAGCAATTTCTCAGTGGCAAAATTATTGATTTTCGTTTTGACAGAGCTTATTCTCCAGTTTGATTTTCCTTCTTCGCTGCACTTCTGTTCTTGTGTCACCTTCTCAGAGACTGGAGACTCATTTACATGTTGGCAAGAAAAATGCTGTTTGGAAGGACATAGGAAGCTATAGCTTAATGTTCAAGCTAATTAGCCACACCTAGACAATTTATGAAGGCATTTTGCTCAATATGTAGTTTTTCCTTTACTCAATAAACAGGGAAAAAAAAGTGTTGGTTATCTATTAAAGTTTGACATGCTCGCCAAGCAAATGTTAATTCTTCTTTTGTTGCACTATTTAACCTCATGAGCTCTAGTACCTTTTTCCTAAATGTTAATGCTTTTTCCTACATGTCAAATGCCCATCCATTTGTCACATGCAATATTGACATAGATCATTTGCTCAGCTAATAAAGAATATTTCCCTCTATCAATAATTTTTCATAATTGGGCAAGGTATCTCTTTCCAGGGGACAATTAGAAGGTAACTATTTATAGCCTTTTTCTGACCTTGAGAGATTTAAAGAAAATAATTATCTTATTGCAAAAATTGCATTTAAAGTCAATCTTTCTAAAAGATAAAGCTTTTTTGAGTAAAATAAAAGGGGGCTGCGATCATGGATGGGAGAAAAGTTACATTTACTGAGTGCCCATTACAAGCCAGAAACTGGAGTTTTATGTACATATGTTCTTTAGCACCCTCAGCGTTTCTTTTATCTGCATTCTGTGGTGAAATTGAGGCTCAGAGAGGTCATGTAACTCGTCAATCAGTTAATGGATGTTTGGCTTGGGATTTAACACCAAATCTGTTGGACTCAACTCCACTCTCCGTCCACTCCACTATGCTTTGCTGCTTTGGTTGGCATGATCTATGGGGAATCCCATGTTCTGAGGGTGGCAGCAACCCATTGCCCACAACTGATTCAGATTCAGAGTTGTATTGACGGCTGTCTCAGTAGTGCTGATGGAAGGGCAGGAGACTCTTATCCCAAGTAACTTTGATCTCTCACCCATGATCCAAAGCAGACAGTCTCCTAGTGTAAGGAAGGGGTACAGAAAATCTCTGTGTGCTCTTACAGGGAGGAACAGGACTATTCCTGCTTCCTAACAATGGTGGTCTCTGTTTTCTCTTGGAAGCAGGGATTTTGTTCTAAGGAAGGAGACTATTATACATTTTCCTCTGTGCTACTCACACCACTGCTGGTAACCATTCATGAATTACTGATAAGTTCAATATCCTACTGTCTAGATGACTATTATTCTTAGTAGTTACAAAATGATTGGAATGTCTGTTTAACAGAAACTGACAGAATCATAAGGGCAGCATTCCTGCGCTTATACACACTTTTGTAAACATCAATGCTAAGAAAAAATCCTTACTCCTTTGGATTGTGTTAAAGTTTTCTAAACATAGTCTGATTTTCTCAGGCTACCCTTCAAAGGACTATCAGGTTCTAAAACAAATTAAAAAGTATGTGTAAGTCAGAATTGAGAGATAAGAATAGTCTCAAAAATAGTCTTATTATTTTTTTTTAAATATATTGGTACTGCTCTTAACCCAATAGTTATCATTTTCTCAGGCCAAGGCTAAAGTCACCAGGTACCTTATTCTAATAAAACCAACATGGATTGTTCTTAAGCAATCAAGCTAATTGTTTTCTAACAATTAAAAACATCAGAGGTCCCAAAGCAATCTCAAGTTTTAAAACATACTTCTTTTCAGACTACTAAGGTAATACCATTTTACTAGCATTTTTAGAAAATGCACATTAGAAAAAAGAAGAAAATTAAAATGATATGTGATCCCACACACCTAAACGTAACCATTATTAACATCTGGTGCACATCAAGTCTTTTTGCATTTTAAATAACAATGGTGTGGTGGTCAGGATTCGTAGGGGCAAGCAACAGAAAGAGCTGTCACTCCTTTAAGTAAAAAGGAGTTTATTGAAAAGATATTTGGAACTCCACAGGAAAACCTCGAGAACCAATCTTAGAAAAGAGTAAGAGTGGAAGTGACAAAGGGAGGTTAATAAACCAGAACCATCCGAAACTGGTTTGGCTCAGTGGATAGAGCGTCGGCCTGAGGACTGAGGGGTCCCAGGTTCGATTCCGGTCAAGGGCATGTACCTGGGTTGCGGGCACATCCCCAGTAAGGAGATGTGCAGGAGGCGGCTGATTGATGTTTCTCTCCCATCGATGTTTCTAACTCTCTATCTCTCTCTCCCTTCCCCTCTGTAAAAAATCAATAAAATACATTTTAAAAAAATAGAAAAAAAAATAAAATAAACCAGAACCAGAGGTCAGATAACACCATAGAATTAGTCAAGTGAGGTTCCAGAGCTGACACCCTTCACCAAAGCTAGTACTTCTATACTGCTGCCCCTGGCGCCCTGAAAACCATGTTCCCTCACTGATGGGATGGAGTTTCCACTAGCCTGTGGGTCACTAGCTTCCAATTCCGAGTCTGGGTGGGTCTGGGTGCTTGATCAAGTCCAGCCCACATGCCTGCCCCAGCTGTCAGGGAGCAGTGACAGAAATACTCTTAATTCCTTGTCTCTATAAAGGGAGGAGGCCTTCACTGCACATGAAGAATCACATGGTGGGAAATTTCCCAAACTTGGGAAGGGAGTTTAGATGCTGAGCTGCCAAAATCCCACATGATGTCTGCCACAATGAGCTCATAAAGCTTTATATAGCTCTGCATTCTGCTTTCCTCTCAAATGAAACCATGACTATTTCCTTAAATCATAAAATACTGTTAAAAAGTAAGACTTTCAGTGACTGTAATAATAATCTTAATTTGCTAAATAACTAGCATATGTGATACTGACTAGAAACCTTGAAAAGCATGGCAGTTACAAAGGTAGAAGCATCGATCTTAGTATAGAACTATCTAAATTATTTTTCTACCTTCAGTTAGCATATGCAGAGAGAAGTCTGCATCATGAGATCAAGCCTTCATATCTAGGGGCACAGCCTGAGATAGCCTAGATGACCTCAGTGAGGCAGGACGGACTGGAAAGGGCAGTTTTGGGAGCTGCCTCTGTCTATTAGGTTGGGCCAGGAAGGCGGGCACAGGCCCAGCTGCAGGAGAAAAGGAACTCTGTACCTGACCTGGCTGTAGCCCAACCAGGAGGCTCTCAGTTTTGGGGCATAATGCCGAAGGTAATATTCAGTTGTCAGGGACTGACAGTTCTAGCCCTTGGCCTGAGTTTCAGGAGAAGCCTGGGGTTGAAAATAGGATCATAGTAAGTTTGAAGGACTAGTCCTAGAAGGACACATAATAGGTAAATTATCAAGACAGGGAGAAGAAATACAGTGGGACTGCAGATACAAGACCAGTGACTAGGGTGGGAGCAGGTCTTATAAGCCTTGTATCAGAACTAAAGCCAACATTGATTTCCAGGCTCAATTTGCTTAGGTTTTTCCTGACTAAGGTTGGGCATGGAGTGCTCAGTTGTAGGGAAGGGGTTGACAGAGTTGCTACACATGGAGCCCAGGGACCCCCAGTGACTGAGGGACTGAGAAGAAGGCCATAGGAGACAAGCTCAATTAGCTAAGGTTGTGCATCTATATGTCAGAAGTCAGACCAGAAAGAAAGGGCACAGGCACTCTGTATGAGGGCTCTGAGGCAAACGTGCCTTCTCTCCATCCCTGATGGCTCTCTGAGCCTGTGGCGATCTATCTCTTTTGTTCTCCCTAAGACCCCACTAAAAGGTTAGCTTCTCTTCCTGTCAATTTGAATGTGGCCTTCCCATCCCTATGGGTATCCTGAAAAATTGAATACAGGTTTCAGGTGCCCCAGTAATAATTTACAGATACCACAGCTCAGCGACTTTGCCCTGGAGACTCTTATCTTTCAGATAGTTTGCAACATGTTGAATGTGGAAGGATCCAGCACAGCAGTACAGAGCCAAACCACATATGGCGTTAGACCCCCTGGGTAGTAGAGTGGAATTAATTGGAGTAGCCATTGTCATTCTACTTCATGTAACTTTGTGTTTTCATTCCATGGAATTTTAGCCACAAGAATGCTACTCACAGATTGTGTGTGGCATGTTTTGCACTGAGGAACAAGAAAGAACATTGCATCGACCACGACATAATTACACTTCCTTCTGCACAACTTCATCCATGCCTGGCGTGTGGACTCTGCCCAGGTCTGGCTGTGAACCCTGCAAAACCACGATGCAACGATCAATTCTCGTCATCATTCCTCGGAAGGCTGTTTCGAATTTGCCTGTAACCATTGGATAGACCTACCTTTTAAAAATAGATGTGTTTTTGCACTCTTGAAACTACTTATTTTCTTACTCTTTGTCACAGCCAGCCTAGTTTAAGCTGACGGTAAAAAGAGGTTTTGGAGGTTTTCCACCACAAGGTTATTTAAAGTTCTTTGAGCTGCCGCCAGACCTTCATTTAGCATTTTAATAAACTTCCTGGGCCAAGGAGTAATTTTCCTGTATCCTCTTTGTCCTCAGCATGAAGTAATAGTACAAAAGAGGGTCATCATTTTTAGGCCAGTCATCTACATTAATTATAAAATTATCCTAATGAACAACCAGATATGAAGTCTGGGACAGAAAAAAAGGGGAGCAGGCTTCTTTCCGTGGTTAACATTAGGAAGGGGGGTGGTCATAGACACATCAAGAAACTGCCAACAGAAATATTTTTCACATGGACAGTTAGAAAGGACATTAAAAGAAACTGCATAGTCAAGTTATAGCAAGATAACCACATTCAATTGCCTAACGTTTGCTTATTTGTGCCCTTATCTGGAGTCTCTCTAAGGCCAGAAGTACCAGTAGACTCCCATGTTTACATGGGGATATGGAAATCGGCCTCTAAGACAGTTAGTTGCAAAGATCCCCAGAGAATTTTTTGGAACTTGCATCGCTGGGTACAGTGTGATGTCACTTTTTAGTGTTTCTAGGCATTGGGCCAAAACTCAGTTTCAGGAAAATAATTGCAGAAATGTTTAAATAATTTGCATGAGGTTTGTGAAAGCAAAGGAAAAGCTGCCTGCTTCATTCCCAAAGGAGATTTCAAGACACAATCAATGTTAGGCCACAAAACACTGTTTAGACAGAATAATTATCAGCCCTTTCCCTTCTCTTCCATTATTAAACTGAGGCCTCGTCCCTCTGAGGGTTTCACCTGGCATATGGGAAGACTGTTGTTACTAAGTCCCCTTTATGGATGTTCAAATAGGCTAAGTAAATACAGAGTTTACGAAATCAGTTCATTCATGGACATTATTTGACATGAAGTTGCTTCTATGTCATGATTAGCTTTTTCTGTTTCTATTCATGTTATAATCAAGTAGGATGGAATTATATGGGATGGTTTCACCAGACCTTCATTTAGCATTTTAATAAACTTCCTGGGCCAAGGAGTAATTTCCGGCATCCTCTTGGCCCTCAGCATGAAGTAATAGTGCAAAAGAGGGTCATCGTTTTTAGGCCAGTCATCTGCATTAATTATAAAATTATCCTTATGAATAACCAGATATGAGGTCTGGGACAGAGAAGGGGAGTGGGCTTCTTTCTGTGGTTAATATTAGAGTGGGTTTCACCAGCCCATGTAAGTCCATCATACTTAATTACAAGATAAATAAAAACAGAAAAGCTAATCATGACATAGAAGCAACTTCATGTCAAATAATGTCCATTAATACTGTGCGGAGAAATCTTGAAAATGTTTCCCAATGCAGACTTCATTTCATTCATGTTGACTTTTTAGAACTGAGCTCAAAGAACCCTAAGTGACGGGATCATCAAAACAACCCACAGAGGGATGCAGTGGGTGGAATGCTATTAAGACAAAAAGTGAAGCTGTGTTTAAATGATGTTACAGCTATCAATGCCCAAATTACAGCATAGTTATTACTTCAGGGAACTACTCAAAGTATTGTTTGAATTGAATTAAAGTTATTTTTACAGATATTCTTGACATGGCATTATCTGATTTAAAGAGACATGGGAAACATGTGCGAGAAGTCAACTGATGACTGACCAGGGGCCAAGTGAAGATTGAAGGGATGTGGCCAGGAGCCCCCAGAAGCTGAAGAAACAGGGAGGACTCTCCCCTGGACCCCTGCGAGGGAGCACAGCCCCAGACACTCTGATGTCAGATTCTGGCCCGGGAACAGGGAGAGCACATGTCCTTGTTGGTTTAGGCCAGTCTGGAGTCATTGGAGCAGCAGCCTCAGGAAAAAGACCCCTCCCTTTGGGGTTTAGACCAGATTCTGGGAACACCTGAGCCCTGTTCTCTGGCAGGAGAGACCCCCTAGACCTCTCACTGCAGGGTCTCACAGAGAGATTCATCCCTGTGTCTGTGCCTCGGCCCCCTCTTTTCCTGGGGCGGGCGGGGGGGTTGGGGGGGGGGGGAGCTCCCTGGCAGTGACAGTGCAGTGGTCACACTGTTTGGTGGGAAGTGCAGGATATATGGCTCAGGGAATTCTCCCCACCTTGCCAAGCCCCAGCTGCAGGAAGATGCTATCCCAGCCCCGCCCTTACCTTCCAGGCCTTACCCCTAGTAAATCCAACCTGGGCCTCCACTTCCTGGAGCACCTGGGTTGTGGTGCCCATATTCTAGATGCCAAAACTGAGGCTCAGAGGGGGCGGGGCAGAGGTCCCTACCCCCACCTCCCAATTAATTCAGCCCAGCTCACAGGCAGCTCCCCTAGCTGCCAAGTGGGCAGGGCCTCATGATCAAGAGGAAATGGGCATGTTAACAAGGGGGCGGAGCTACGTGATCAAGCAGAAGTGGGCACCTACACAGGGGGTGGGGCCACGTGATAAAGCAGGTGTGGGCACAGGAACAAGGGAGTGGGGCAAGTGATCAACCAGAATTGGGCATGTGACCAAGGGGGCAGGGCCACACGAATTTGCTGGAGAAGTCAAGTGAGGACTGAGGAGGGGCCACGTGAAGAATGAAGGGATGTGGCCAGGAGCCCTGAGAAGCCCAAGGGGCAGGTAGGACCCTCTCCTGGACCCCTTTGAGAGAGCACAGCCCCAGACACCCTGATTTCAGATTCTGCCCCAGAACAGGGAGAGCACATGTCCCTGTTTGTTTAGGCCAGGCTGTAGTCATCTGAGCAGCAGCCTCAGGAAATAGACCCATTTTTGCCTCTCCTTTTGGGGCTTTGATCAGTTCTGGAGACACCTGAGCCCTGTTCTCTGGCAGGGGAGACCCCTAGACCTCTCACTGCAGGGGATCACAGGGAAATTCATCCCTGTGTCTGTGCCTCGGCCCTTTCTTTCCCTACCCCGGGGCTCCTCGGCAGTGGCAGGACAGTGGTCACACCAGGGCAGGCTGCTTGGTGGGAAGTGCAGGCTGCTTGGTGGGAAGTGCAGGCTACGTGGCTCAGGGTCTCCTTGCTGCCTTGCCGAGCCCCCAGCTGCAGGATGTTGCAGGTTACTCCCCAGTCCCGCCCTTACCTCCCAGGTCTTACCCCTAATGAGTCCAGCCTGAGCCTCTACTTCCTGGAGCACCTGGGTTGTGGTGCCCATATTCTAGATGCCAAAACTGAGGCTCACCAAGGGGAGAGCAGAGGTCCCAACCCCCAGCCCACCTCCCCCTCAACTCAGCCCAGCTCACAGGGGGTGGGCCCCTGATCAAGTAGAATTGGGCTCCTGAACAAGGGGTGTGGCCACCTGATCAATCATTCCATAATTCACCAATTTATTAAAATTCATTTAATAAAATTATTAAGCATCAGAGAAGTGCTAAAATCATTCCAAGCATTGCAAATGCACTGTAAAAAAAAGTCTCTCTTCTCATGTAGCTTACATGCAGGAGAGATTCAACAATAAAACAAGGTAAATTCAGGTAGCTTAGAAGTGTTATGAAGGAAATAAAACAGAATGATATGATGGACAGTCATAGAGCTTTGTCACATACTATGGTCAGGGAAAGCTCCTCTAAGATGATACATAATGATGAGGACACAGCGAGTGGACGAGCCAATAAGAAAATGTACTAGGCGATTCTCTCTATGGAGCACACTGCTGTTTTTCCCCAGGCCCTTCCCCTAGGCATGTGTTGTTATGTTTTTGTTTGTTTGTTTATTATTCATTTCTCAAAATAGGCTTTAATATTTGTAACTCATATGTAAGATTTCCTGGAATTTTTATTATTTGCGATTAAGGCTTTTACCTGTTATTTCATACTCCAAACACTCACATATATTTAGAGTTTTGTTTACTTTTCAAAATTATGTGTGAAACTTTAAGGACCCCGGATCTATTTAGCTTGTTAAATCTGAACCTTAGCCATACACATTTTAATATATATATATTTTTTATTAATGGGTCAATATAGGCCATATGATTTAATTCCTGACACTTTACTAATAGGTTTTTAAAAATTTTTTATCTTTATTGTTGAAAGTATTGTAGATGTTCACTTTCTTCCCCCCATTGACCTCTTCTAGCCTGCACCTGCCCCCTGCCCCAGGCCTTCGCCACACTATTGTCTGTGTCTATGGGTTAGGCATATCTGTATATACATTCTTTGGTTAGTCCCTTCTGACCCACTGCTGCCTTCCCTCTGAGATTCCACAGTCTGTTCTATGCTTCTATGTCTCTGGATCTATTTTGTTCATCAGTTTATTTTGTTCATTAGATTCCACATATGAGTGAGATCATGTAATACTTGTCTTTCTATGGCTGGCTTATTTCACTTACCCTCCAGGTCCCTCCATGCTGTCTCTAAGGGTAAGAGATTCTTATTTTTTACTGCTGCATAGTATTCCATGGTATAAATGTACCATAGCTTTTTTTATCCACTCATCTACTGATGGGCACTTGGGCTGTTTCCAGATCTTAGCTACTGTCAATTGTGCTGCTATGAACATAGGAGTGCATATGCTCTTTCTTATTGGTGTTTCAGGTTTCTTAGGATATATTTCCAGAAGTGGGATCACTGGGTCAAATGGCAGTTCTGTATCTAATTTTTTGAGGAAACGTCATACTGTTTTCCACAGTGGCTGCATCAGTCTGCATTCCCACCAGCAGTGTACTAGGGTTTCCTTTTCTTCACACCATCACCAGCACTTGTCATTTGTTGACTTGTTGATGGTAGCCATTCTGACATGTTTAAGGTGATACCTCATTGACATTTTAATTTGCATTTCTCTGATAATCAGTGACTTTGAGCATTTTTTCATGTCTCTTGGTCATCTGTTCATC